AGTCCCCGATAAGGTGGCTTACTCCAGTCGCTATAGCTAGGCCTTGGCTCCGGACGTCCTCAGGAACGGTGCTCATTAGCAGAGCAACGACTCCGATACCGCTATCTCCATTACCACTACCCAACGTTGCTCGGTGCTGTAGTCGCAAATGATGCCAACAGAGCGACTGACATCATAAGAAGGAAGGCCCAGGTCGACTTGGCCGTTGCTGTCAAAGCAATCGATAGTGCCTGTTGATACCACCATGCACTGCTGAGAACAACTCCAACTACCCCTATAGCGCTCATCACGGAGGATATCTTAGACCCACTCCTGGCTCGAGTAGTTGCACTTGGATCCTTTCCAGCTACTTTATCACTGAGCCAACCGCCAAAATACGTCCCCACTACCCCTACACAATGACATCCCCTATCTCCGCTATACCGAGGGCCTACCTGTGAATACAGTAGCAAGGCCCAGCCCCAGTGTGGCAACAGCCTGGCTGGCTTGGAGAGACTCCCGCAGTATCGTGGGGCCGTGCACTGCCAGACCACCAGCTACGAAGTTGAAGGCAGCAGATCCGAGGCAAATGAGTACAAACGGCCTCGACTGAGGAAAGTAACCTTCACGCGCCACAAAATAGGCAGCTGTCACTACCATGAGGACTTGCTTGATGTCACCAATAAGGCTCGTAGTCGAAGCATTGAGCTCCGTATACTGGTGAGCATTCGTCGAAAACCTCCACTGCCATCTCACACACAGTACTATTACTGGTATCATCAAACATGCCTGACAGGTCGACTGATTATACTCATCGACGCTCCAAGTATCACCTCAACAAGGAAGATGGTCTTACCACCCGCCCAGGAAGTTACCCCAGATGTCACTATATTACCAAGAGCAATTCCAACGTATATCGACATGAAAAAGAACCCTGATACCACAAAGCGTCAACAATATGCACTGACCCACATCAGGGTTACCGAGATAAGACGACTTCCGTCCAGCAGGAGAGGCATCGTCGATCACTACTGGTGCCAGAGAGCAAAACGCAGCTTCACCAACACCTAACGGCTCATTCACTAACCTAAACTGGTGAGAGCTCACCTGTGAGAAGTCTACACCATAGTAGTGCATTATAACTATTCCCAACGAACAAGTACGTTGATGCGCAGGAGGCCGTCCAGACTATCAAACCTGTTGGCACCACTATCCCCCTTCATAGAAAGGACCCTACCTATGGCTATGGACCGAGCCGTCCAACAAGGGCCTCTCCTAGAGAGTCGGGCGAATATAGGAGATGCGATAGTGT